AACTTTTATAGCTTTTCTGCACTGTAAATATTTATCTCTTTTTTACAGCTGCGTAGTATTTCACTTAGCATATCCACCAGTTTGTTCAGCCACTGTCCTATGGCCATCTGGGTTATTTCCAATATATATATATTTTTGGTGGGGGACAGAGTCTTGATCTGTTGCCCAGGCCGGAGTGCAGTGGCGTTATCTCAGGTCACTGCAAGCTCCGCCTCCTGGGTTCATGCCATTCTGCTGCCTCAGCCTCCCGAGTAGCTGGAACTACAGGCACCTGCCACCACACCCGGCTAATTTTTTGTATTTTTAGTAGAGATGGGGTTTCACTGTGTCAGCCAGGATGGCCTCGATCTCCTGACCTTGTGATCTGCCCACCTCAGCCTCCCACAGTGCTGGGATTACAGGTGTGAGCCACCGCACCCGGCTAATTTCCAATCTTTTATTCCTAAAAACGCCACAGTGAAAAACCTCAGATGTGTGTGTAGGCTACTGTTGGTGGCAGTATATCTTTTGGAAGATTTCTAGAAGTGGGATCGCTGGATTATAGGTAGATGCATATATAATTTTGTTAGATATTGCCATCGGGGTTATACATTTGTCCTCCCTTCAGCTATGTACGAGAGTACCTGTTTCCTCGTTGGGTGCGTATCACCTATTGGTTAGGAAGTGTCTCATAAAGGTGTCGAAGTGACATAACGTTCACCTGTTGGTACTAAGAGTGAGCTGGAGACCTGATGCTTTGGAGCCTCTAGGAAAGTAGCCAGGTTTTGTTAGAGACCTTAATGTAGAGGACAGTTGAAGAAAATCCTCTAAAGAAGTGCAATGAAACCAACTGTAGCAGGTGCTTTTGGTGCCCTGCCCACATCCCCTCACCCTAATTAATTCAGTACACAGCTGCTTAACTTCTCACCGCGAGTGCATGCATTTCTTCGCTGGTTCTCTGGTTCCTGAAGCCCACTTGTTTGTTGAAATTCAAGCCATAAGTGCCATGGAATTAATGTGCCTTGGAAGCCACCTTCAATCAATGGCCGGCAAGATTTGGTATGTTTCCATACCAACTCCCTTGGTTTTGGGGTTAGTTGACAGGATTCCCAGAGCTTCCCCAGTGGGATTAAGCTGCAGCTTCCCACCATAGTAGCTGGCTTGATAACTCACCCTTTATTTGTCCTGACTCATGATTTTTTTCACTTTTTTTTTTTTTTTTTGGAGGCAAAGTCGCTCTCTTGCCCAGGCTGGAGTGCAATGGCTCAGTCTTGACTCACTGCAAGCTCCACCTCCAGGGTTCAAGCAATTCTCCTGCCTCAGCCTCCCAAGTAGCTGGGATTACAGGCGCCTGCCACCATGCCCAGCTAATTTTTGTATTTTTAGTAGAGACGGGGTTTTGCCATGTTGGCCAGGGTGGTCTCGAACTCCTGACCTCAGGTGATCCGCCTGCCTGGGCTTCCCAAAGTGCTGGGATTACAGGCGCGTGAGGCACTGTGCCCAGCCAGTTTTTTTCACTTCCTATGCAAACTGCCTGCATTCCAATTCTTGTCTCAGGATCTGCTTCTTGGAAACCCAAACTAATTAGGACACAGACGGAAAAAAAAAAAAAATTCCCCTAATTTGTTCCTAGAAAGCATGAAACAAACACGTTTTAAAAATAATTAGGTTATTTAATTAAATGTGTTAGCCTCATATCTCCAATAAAATAAATCATGCTAAATGACCCAGTAACGTCTTGATATGCCACAGAAATAGTCAGTTTAAAGAAACTACATCACTCTGTGTGCAGAAGCACAAAACACTTCTTTACTTTCAAGGTGTTTCATAGTCTGTCTGGAAAGACAAGATAAATGTAAGCAAAGCATTAATGAATAATACAATTGACACCCCTATTTGTGAAGCAAACCACAAGTACGTTGACAATAAGCAGAGAGGCATCTGAGGAGGATTTCTTATAGGGAGTAGGTTTGTGCTGGTCTTAGAAGGAAAGATTTAGTTTCAAGAAGAGGCAAACAAGCGCAACCGGAGGTTGACAAGATTATAGGGATCTTGATGAAGTCCATAGAGAATAATTCTAGAGAGAAACGTGGTTGGGATTGATCTGGAAGAGCTCAAAGGTTACACTGAGAGTTCTGCCTCCAGACCACCACTGCAAAAAATGTTAACAGAGAAAGAAAAAAACATACCACGTAGACATTTTCATTTACATAAAGGAATGAAGAGCACTAGAAATCGTACATATAAAGATACATGTTTTATCTCATTTAAAAAATATTATTTAAAGAGAAATAAATTTAGTTTTTAAAACTACAAAATATATTAGAAATCAGTAACAGTAAGATGTCTGGAAAAAGCCCCAAATATTTTTTTAAAATAACAATATACTTCTAAATAACCCGTAAGTCAAGTAAAAAAGTATAAGATAAATTAGTAAATATTTTAACTAAATAAAAATGAAAATATATCAATAATTTTGTGATGCAACCAAAGCAGTCATGGAGAGAAATGTATAACATTATTATTTACTTTAAGTTCTGGGATACACGTGCAGAATGGGCAGGTTTATTACGTAGGTTTACATGTGCCATGGTGGTTTGCTGCACCTATCAACCTGTCATCTAGGTTTTAAGTCCTGCATGCTTAGGTATTTCTTAGCCTCATATCGCCAATAAAATAATGCCTATGTCTCCAATAAAGTAATGATTGATTACATTAATCCTAATGCTCTCCCTCCCCTTGCCCCCCACTCCCTGACAGGCCCCCATGTGTGACGTTCCCTTCCCTGTGTCCATGTGTTCTCATTGTTTAACTCCCACTTAGGGGTGAGAGCGTGTGGTGTTTGGTTTTCTGTTACTGTGTTACTTTGCTGAGAATGATGGCTTCCGGCTTCATCCATGTCCCTGCAAAGGACATGACCTCATTCTTTTTTATGGCTGCATAGTATTCCATGGTGTATATGTGCCACCTTTTCTTTATCCAGTCTATAGCATTCTTATATTAGAAAATCATAAAAATATCAAGTTAGTGGTCCAACTTCCACCTTAAGAAACTAGGGAAAAAACCTCAGCAAATTAAAGTCAAAGTAAGCAAAAGAAAAGAATTAGAAAGTATGAATAGAATTTAATTAAATGGGAGGCAGAAAAATAATAGGAAAATAAATAAATAAAACCCAAACTTAGTTGTTTAATCTTGGTGTTGATGGTTTTGAGTCTTTTCCATTCTGGTTTGATTTTTGTGCATTTTTGGCTGGAGTATCTCATAGATTTCTTCACTGGTGCTTTTTCTTCAGTTTCCTCATCATCAAAATCATCATCATCTTCTTCAGCAGCATCATCTTCATCACCACCATCTTCTTCATCAGCCACAAGTTTTAATTTTTTCTGTGGAATCTTGCTACCACCTCCAGGGGCAAATTGCTTTCCAGATTATACTTAAGGGTTTCACATTCTCCTCCTCTTCATCTTCTGACTCTGCATCTTCCTCCCCAGCTACTAAGTGCTGTCCACTACTCGGCCCTGAACCACACTTCTACTGTAAGGCCATGTGTGGTGTGATTTGAAAGCCCCCAACAGAAACCATTGGCTGTACAGACATTTCCAAAGTTGCCAGTGTTACTCTAATTGGACTGCCTTCGTATTTCATTGTCTCTGCATCAGCAATGTGCAATCATCCTTTGCACCAGACCCTAAACTGACCGTTCTTAAAGATAAGTGGTGTTCCTTTTCATCATTTTCTACCTTAAAGGGATCATCTTTGTCGCTCTTTAGTTCACAACCGAAAAGATAGTTCTGGGGCCTCAGGGGGCTCATGTCCAGTCCGTTGAGTCCTTCATGGGATGGTGGCATGTACTTAGGTGGGAGAGAAGACGGACAGAGGTAAATGATCACTGCTCCAGGGAACAGCTGCATAGGACGGAATCACACCAGCCAAACTTGATTATTTAAGAAGATCAATAAATTTGGTAAACCTCTAGAAAAATGAACCTTAAAAAGGGAAAGAATTAAAGATAAGAGAGAGAGAGAAAGTGAGAGAGAGGTCATGAATTACATTAAGCGAGATGGGACATCACTACTGATACTTTATAGACATTAAAAGGATAATAAGAGATTTTTATGAATGCCTTTCTATCAATAATTTCTACATGTTGGATACAATGGATACATTTTTAAAAGAAACAAGCACAATTTCACTAAAGATGGACTAGATAACTAGAATAGTCCTGTATCTATTATTAAAATTGCCTTGTAGTTAAAACTCTCTCACAGAGAAAACTTCGGACCTATGTAACTCCAATATGTAAAGAAAAAATAATGCCAATGCTACATGAACTCTCCAGAAAATTGAAAAGGAGGAACTACTTCCCAACTCAGCTATGTGGCCATCGTTAAACAGATGCCAAGACCAGACAAACACATTATAAGAAAATAAAACTACAGACTAAAATCTCTCATGAACATAGAACAAAAATCACCTTTAATAACACAGAATTTCCAGTAAATTATCCTTTGTTCACAGTCAGGCTACCTGGGACTCAGAGAAAATATTGCAATGTTTCATTGAGTCTTCCTCCAAGAGGTCATCTATGAAGACTTATTTTAGAAAGAAAATATTCAGACAGAAATCTGGCCCTGTCCTCCAGAAGGAAGGACCCATAGACCCTAGGGACAGTGCTCCCAAGGGCAAAGAGCCTGTCTTCATTCCCAAGGCACCCTCTTGTTCTGAACACAATTCCTTTATGATATTGTGGCTTTTGGTGTATCAGTGCTGGGCTGTGGCACCAGTCACAGGGGTGAGACCCACCGTGGGCTCTTCACTTGTTAAGGCTCCTTGGCCTCTGAGATGTACCAGAGAGCAGTCTAAACTACGCTATTTGGGTGTCAACAAGGATTGGGAAGGAAAAGTTTAAAAAAATGTTGGGAGTCCATGCCTAGGCCCTTGGTGGCCCTGGGTGTGGAGCTGGGGGTTGTGGCCATAGTCCCATGGCTTGGTGGTCATGTCTGCTTTTCCTCTGTGTTCAGGTGGATCATTATGCCTTGCTGTCAACCTTGCAGCTGATGTACACCGTGGGATACTCTGTCTCTCTTATCTCCCTCTTCCTGGCTCTCACCCTCCTCTTGTTTCTTCGGTGAGTAGAACTTCTGCAGACATATGTTCAGGCAGGTATAGTAGCCCTCCTTCATCTACAAGGGATATGTTCTAAGAGTTCCAGTAGATGACTGAAACCAGAGGTAGAACCAAACGTAGTGTTCAAACCAGGGATAGAACCAACCCTATGTTTGGTTCTATCCCCATGTTTTTTCCTGTACTTACATACCTCTGATAAAGTTTAATTTATAAATTAGACACAGTGAGAGATTAACAATAACAATATTAAAATAGAACAATTATAATGCTATACTATAATAAGAGTTATGTGAATGTGGCCTCTCTCTCTCAAAATATCTTATTGCACTATGTTCACCCTTCTTTTTGTGATGATCAAAGGATGGAGCTGGTCAGTGTTCGATTTCATCACTTTACTCAGAATGGCACATAATGTAAAACTAATGAACTATTTATTTAATTATTTACGTCTGGAAGTTTTTTGTTTAATATTTTTGAGCTGCAGTGCACCATGATTGACCGCAGGTAACTAAAACAGTGGAAAGCAAAAGTGTGGATAATGGGGGAATTATGGTATTGTGTCATTTGCTCACTGGCTACCTCTAGAAAGCGCTGGAAGACTGGGCTGGATGTGTCATGAATCATCAAAGCTGGAAATGACCTGAGAGAGGATGAGGCCCATCCCTCCCATTCTGCAGATGAAGGGGAAGAAAGGGATGGCAATGTCCCAATCAGAGGCATTGAGTCGCCTCTGGCCATAAAGCCAGTTGGCTACACAGCTAGAACTTGAACCCAAGACTCCTGATAGCTTTACCTCCTTTGGATTAGACACCTGCTGTGTGCCCGGCCCTGGTGTAAATCCCTAATCACACCCGTTACCACCACAGCCCATTCCCACCACAACTCAATCAGAGGCATTCTTTTTACAGAAGAGATTAAGAATCTTCCCCAAGGCAAACAAGTGGGTGGAAGAGCTGGGATTTTAATTCAAGGCCCTGGGACTCCAATTAGCTATCAAATTTAAGTTCTTACTCCTAAATGCATTACATGCATTAGGTCGTTTAAATGTCATCCCTAATTCAAATTAGGATTCATTCTATTCCTAGGAGGTTAGCATTATTATTATCCCCACTTTATACGTGAGTTAATTGAAATATGGAGAGATGAGGTAACTTGCCCAAGATCGCCAGCTGGTGGGTAATGAAGCCAGGATCACAAGCAGGCAGTCCAGGATCTGAGTACTTTCCCTCCCTAAACATTCAGCATTCCAAAGCCTGAGTGCCTTTTACTAAATCATGTTTTTAGAAATCACCCAAGTGAGACATTTATGGACCCACTAGAAAGCTCTCCAAAGCTGTCTCTTGTCTCAGGAATGTAAGCGGATATAACGTGGCAGAAGCAGCATTTGACATAAGTGTAGGAGATCTGGATACCAGCTCCAGAGCACCTCTCCACCTGGGCTCTGCTAGCCCTAGGTTGGGCCTCATGTGACTCCTCAATCCTGAGATGTTCTGGAGCTCCTAGGGTAGAGTCATGACCATCTATCCCATTGGGAGAACCATGCTTGAGCTACGGGAGAACTCTGCAACTTGTACCCACTGATTATCTGTGACCTCCTTCCTCCATGCCCTGTCCCAAAGTTCCAGCACCAAGCCAGGAGAAAATAACTGCCCAGCCCTGCAGAAAGTCACTTCAGCCAAGCCTGGGACAACCAAGTGTCAGTTCTGCCTAAGGCTTGGGGAAAAGTGAGGTCCAGTCACTGCCCTCAAATAGCCCGCAATCTAGTTAGAAGAATGCATAAATCCTAAGACAGAAGAATCTGCCTCAAGTTCTTTTTGGAAATTAAAAATGTAACAATAGCTCTAAAGCAAGATAGGACAGGGTATGTGCTGCCCAGGGAGCACAGTGGGGGAAGAGTTCTTTCCTCTGGCGACAGCAAGGATAAATGTCACATCACACACAAAGAGCCTGCAGGAGACTCCAGGTGCGTAAGGAAGAGGTGATGAGCACTAACAATTTTCTGGACACTTACTTATGTGCACAGATTAACGGATTTAATCATCCCACAACCCCTGGAGGTAAGTGCTCTTGTTCTCAGAGGCAGAAGAACCTGGGAGACCTATACTTTGGCCTGAGAGTTTCTGTGTCTGAATCTCAGCTCTACGACTTGCTGCTCTGGGACTTTGGACAGATGACTTCATCTTTCTGCTTTAATTCTTTCATTTATAAAATCAGGGTAATAATGGTGCCTCTACCTCCAGTGGTGGTAAGGAGTAAGATACTCAAAAGTAGCTGCGTATATAAATAATTTGGAACACGGTTGGCATGTTGAAGATGCTTTGTAGGTGATAGCTATTTTTTTTTTTTTTTTTTTGAGGCAGAGTCTCACTCTGTCACCAGGCTGGAGTGCAGTGGCACGATCTCAGCTCACTGCAACCTCTGACTCCCTGGTTCAAGCGATTCTCCTGCCTCAGCCTCCCAAGTAGCTGGGATTACAGGCACACGCCACCACACCCAGCTATTTTTTATATTTTTAGTAGAGACAGGGTTTCACCATGTTGGCTAGGGTGGTCTCAATCTCCTGACCTCATGATCTGCGCATCTTGGTCTCCCAAAGTGCTGGGATTACAGGCATGAGTCACTGCACCTGGCCAGTGATAACTATTATTACTCCCATTTTACAAGTGAGGGAAATGAGGCAGAGAGATTTAAGGTCACATAATCCAGTAGTCCAGCTCTGCAGGCTATACTATGACCCTCTGTCTTTAGTGAGAGATACACAGACATAAAAGGCATAGGCCTGTTGATCAGAGCCATTCTTTCCTGAGGGAAGGCATTTGGTTTTCTCCTTGCACAGAAAACTCCACTGCACACGCAACTACATCCACATGAACTTGTTTGCTTCTTTCATCCTGAGAACCCTGGCTGTACTGGTGAAGGACGTCGTCTTCTACAATTCTTACTCCAAGAGGCCTGACAATGAGAATGGGTGGATGTCCTATCTGTCAGAGGTAATGCCCTTCCCCACTGTTTAAAGTGGGCTCCCCACCTGATGGGTCACTATTAGGAATCAGAAGGCAGGCAGGTGGGACTAGGGAGGGTCAGGGGGAGATAAGAGGGTTTCCAAGACTTTCTGGCTAGAGAAGCAGTACGTGACTTAACAAAACCACCACCTGCCCAGGTGAAGGAAACCACAAGCAGAAGGGTTCACCATGGCTGCTGTGTGTCTTTGGGTGGGAATTTCTTCATGTGCAAACAAAAGAATTGGACTAGATCAACGCATTTTACAATTATAGCTGGCTGTCTGTATCCGTGAGTTCTGCATTCATGAATTTAACCAACTAGGGATAGAAGGTTTTGGGAACAAAAAGGAAGATTGTGTCTGAACTGAATATGTACAGACCTTTTTCCTTGTCATTATTCCCTAAACAATACAGTATAACAACTATTCATATAGCATTTACATTGTATTAAGTATTACAAGCAATCTAGCTATGATTTAAAGTATATGAAAGGATGTGCATATGTTATAGGCAAATACTCCACCATTTTATAGAAGGGACTTGAGCGTCTGTGGATTTTGGTGTCCACAGGGGATCCTAGAAACAAGGATATTGAGGGACAATTTTACTATTTTCTTAAAGCAGCACTGCTTTTCCACATTGAAATCTGCATCTATTGAGATGGTTTTTCCTTTATCCTGCTAATGATGCAGTAACCTATTAAACCTTGCATTCCTGGAATAAATCCAACTAGGTTTTGACATATTATTTTCTTTCTCCTAAGTTGCTGTCTTTAGTTTGCTAATACTGTGTTTTATTGAGTATTTCCTTGTTGACATTCATGAGAAAGATTGGCCTGTAATGCCTTTGTCAGGTTGGGGATCAAGTTTGTGCTATCCTCCTAAAACAAATTAGAACTTGTTTCCTCTTTCACTATTCTCTGGAAGAATTTATTAAAGATAAGTGTTATTTCTTCCTTAAATGTTTGATTGATTGTGCCAGTGAAGCATTTTGGACCCAGAGGTATCTTTATTGGAAATTTATTTATTTATTTTGAGATGGAGTCTTGCTCTGTCACCCAGGCTGGAGTGCAGTGGTATGATCTCAGCTCACTGCAAGCTCTGCCTTCCAGGTTCACACCATTCTCCTGCCTCAGCCTCCCGAGTAACTGGGACTACAGGTGCCTGCCACCACACCCAGCTAATTTTTTGTATTTTTAGTAGACACAGGATTTCACTATGTTAGGATGGTCTTGATCTCCTGACCTTGTGATCTGCCTGCCTCGAGCTCCCAAAGTGCTGGGATTACAGGCGTGAGCCACCGCGCCCGGCCCTGGAAGGTTTTAAACTATGGATTAATTATGAATCTTATATCCAGATTCTATTTCTTCTGTCAGTTGTAGTAAATGAGTTTTCCTAGGAATTTGTCTATTTCATCTAACTGTTCAAATTTAATGACATAATATTGTTCATGATATTCTCTTCAGATCTTTTTCAAGTCCATTGGATCTGTAAGAGTGTTGTCATTTTCATTCCTGATATTGATAATTTTATCTTTGCTCCTTTTCCTACGCTTTGATCATCTTGGCAACAGGTTTCTCAATTGGACTTTTCGAAGAATAAACTTTTGGCATTGTTGATTATCTTTATTTCATGTTTTCTATTTCATTAACTTCTGCTTTTATTATTTCCTCCCATGTACTTTCTTGGGCTTAATTTGCTATGCTTTTTCTAACTTTTTTTTTTACATGATCCTTAAAATAATTGATATTCAGCTTTTTTCTTTTTAAAAAAATGCACTTAAGGCTATAAGTTTTATTACATAAGGTTTGGTATTAACCATATACTGTAAGTTCGTGCCATATTTTGTTTACATTTGGTTAAGAAATACTTTCTAATTTCTGTTTTATTTTTTTTCTTTGATCCATGGATTGCTTAGAAGTCTATTTTCTAATTTCCAATCATGAAAATTTTTTAATTATTGATTTTAGTTTAATTGAACTGAGGTTAGAGAACATACTCTTCAGTGTTTCCATTAGGGCAATTGCTGATGGTGAATTTTCTACATTTTTGTTTGTCTGAAAATGTCTAGAACGTTAAAGAGGAGACTGGCCTTGAAAACCTACATGAAGCCCTCCTTCCTTCACATTTTGATATTATTGCCAACCTCCCTGAAATGGTCAGCAAGCGTCTGGGAGAGACCAGAGCAAAGAAGGAGGGTGCTGGGCATGGTGACTCACACCTGTAATCCCAGCATTTTGGGAGGCCAAGGCAGGTGGATCACAAGGTCAGGAGATCAAGACCATCCTGGTCAACATGGTGAAACACCATCTCTACTAAAAAAATACAAAAATTAGCTGGGTGTGGTGGCACGCGCCTGTAATCCCAGCTACTCAGGAGGCTGATGCAGGAGAATCACTTGAACCAGGGAGTTGGAAGTTGCAGTGTGAGCCAAGATCACACCACTACACTCCAGCCTGGTGACAGAGTGAGACTCCATCTAAAAAAAAAAAAAAAAAAAAAAAGGGGTTGTCCCTGGGAGGTCCTTCTCCCCCTGACTTGGAGTCAGATGCAGGGGAGCCTGGACTCACCCTCAGGTGTTTTGTCTTCTGCAGATGTCCACCTCCTGCCGCTCAGTCCAGGTTCTCTTGCACTACTCTGTGGGTGCCAATTACTTATGGCTGCTGGTTGAAGGCCTCTACCTCCACGCGCTGCTGGAGCCCACAGTGCTTCCTGAGAGGCGGCTGTGGCCCAGATACCTGCTGTTAGGTTGGGGTGAGTGACCTGACCACCAGCCTCCTCTCTTGGGGATCCATCAAAATATGGGAGCCCAATAAAGACTTTAGTTGGACTTAGAAACCTAACTGGAGGTTCCTTCTGGGACATATAAATCCTCAAGGACAGGAAGCCTTGAAGAGGGGTGTGTGTGTGTGTGTGTGTGTGTGTATATGTGTGCACAAATGTGCATATATGCACACGTGCTACAGGCCCAACAGCCCAATGGACACATTCAAAAATTGAGAAAATCTGGTGGAATCTGATGACATTCCTCCTACCCTGTCCCCAACTGTATTAGTCTGCTTGGAATGTCAAAACAAAATACCAGTGTAGTTTAAACAACAGACATTGATTTCTTATGGTTCTGGAGGCTGGGAAGTTCAGCATGCTTGGGTTCTGGTGAGGGCTCTCTTCCTGTCTTGCAGTCAACTGCCTTCTTCCTGTATTCTCATATGGTGAGGAGAGAGAGAAAGCAAGCTCTCTGGTCTCTTTTTATAAGGGCACTAATCCCGTCATGAGGACCCCACCCTCATGACCTCAGCTAAACCTAAGTACTCATCACCAAAGGCCCTGTCTCCAAGTTCCATCGCATCGGGGGTAGCGCTTTAACATATGACTTTTGGGAGGACACCTATATTTAGTCCATAATACCAGGTCTTCAAGAAGAGGTTTTCTGATTAAAAGTAATACGACCAAGAGTATCCAGATTTGGACCCCCTACCTCCATAAACGCTTTGGAGAATTTGGTGCTGCAGGATTCAGAGGAAATAACCTGGGCCAGTCATTCAGGAGATTTGGGTTGATACCCTTGGATTTATTCTCAGCTGCTTTGTGACAAGTATCAAGTTGCTTTCCCTCTCTGGGCCCTGGTTTCTTGGGTGGTAAAACAATGGATCAGCCCTGTGCTACTCTGGGTCTCTCCAGCTCTCACAGTCCACAACTCCATGATGTTAGGTTTGATGTTTTAACCACCTGTGGTTAGCCCCATCAGCTGTGGTGTGAGGCAGGCAGGTTTGGCCAACCAACTCCTAACTACGTTTCCCCATGTTTTCTCCCCAGCCTTCCCTGTGCTATTTGTTGTGCCCTGGGGTTTTGCCCGTGCACACCTGGAGAACACGGGGTAGGTAATTTACCCAGTTTTACTCTTTCATGAGCCAGTAATTCCCAGGCATGCCTAAATACAAAGAATTACATCATTTTACCAAAGAAAATATCCATCCCTTCTCATTTTGGCCATCTAGAATATTCTTAGGAATGGGAGATAAGATAATCAAAGATCTTATAGCAATTAGTTTATTCATTTAGTTACGCATGCAAATTAGCTCAAAGATGCTGTGTAGGTTAGCTGCAGCCCTGGGTATGTAAGGACAAAAATACAAGAATGAGTATTGCAGCATTGTTCATAGTGAGGAAAAAAAAAAATAGAAAAACCAAACAAACAAAAAACCACTGAATGCTGGTCAACATGGGAATCATTGAACAAACTGTAATATACCTATATTGCAGGATATTATGAGACTACTTAAAAACAAGTTAGTTATGATGGGAACTTTTAGGCACTGATTCTCAACAGCCTATTTTAAGCCTATTGCCGAAACGTATATCGCGTGATCCCGTTTTATAGCACACACACACACAAAAACTACGTATTTAGGAATTTATGTTTGTATGAACATGGAGGAAAATTTTGGAAAGATTTACACACTAGGCTGTTACCACTGAAGAACAATTTAATGTTAAGGAAAGTAAACGGTACCAGTGCTAACAGGAAGGGATTTTAGTTCTCTCTTCTGCAGCTCCCACCCCTCGGGGGAATGATTGGTGGGAAGTAGGGCTTGAGTGCAAGCATCCTTCTTCTAGATAGCGTGAGAGTTTGACTTTCAACCTCCTCTTGTTTTTAAGTCTTCTTTTGCCTGCTCTTTGCCCTTAGGTGCTGGACAACAAATGGGAATAAGAAAATCTGGTGGATCATCCGAGGACCCATGCTGCTCTGTGTAACGGTAAGGACCATTCCATCCACCTCTTTGTCTCTGACCCTAGCAGCTGTGGGAAATCCCCCACCCCACCCCACTCCTGTCCCCCAGATTCTCTGATCCCTTGAGAGAGAGAAGCTGAACTATGAGCATTTTCTGCTGAATGAGAAGTTAAAAGTTTCTTGCTCTGGTTCAGGACCTCAATTTGGAGTTACGTTGTAAGCCTCCTTCTCTCTGGGTCTTCAAACTGTGTAAAGAGACCTGCAGTCAGCTCTGTGGTCCTGTATTGAAGGGCTGAGGTGTGTGCAAGGCTCTGTGGATACCGATGCCTTTAGTCACGGAGGAGCCCGGAATAGCAGAGGTATCGGCTTATATCCATCCACAGGAGGGAGGAAGAGACGAAGGGAACGTCTTTTAGAGGAGGAAAACACACAATTAATATTAACCCAAAATTGTCATGCAGATTAGAATCAAGACATAGATGCTACTCTGAGACCTTAGGGAGGAAGGACCTTTAATCATAGTGGCCCGGAATATTTGGGATGGAAAAGGATGGCCAACCCAGAGTCAAAAATTCCTTTAGATAGTAGAGTATGAGAATGAGATCTGTCAAATCTCATTCTAGCAGGAAGGGGTGGGAAGTTAGCAAACACTGGGAAGGGTTAGTAAGATCCCAGAGGGAGGCAGAAAGTATTTCTGCCTAGACACAGCACCGTCATCTCCGGGTGCCCGCCAGGCATCGAACACTGCCTGTTGTTCTCTACCCACTCTGTTTCCCAAGGCGTTGCTGGATGATCTGTTTCTGCCATTTTATGTAAATAATCTGGCATTTCTGGTACCATGAAAGAAAAGGCTAGTTTTTATAGGGGAGTGTCAAAACTTGTCAATAATAGAAGGCAACTCTCTGTCTAGACCTGGGTGTGACCTGGAGGGAAAAATGTTCCTAGAAGTGGTGGGAAAACAGAGTGTGAACAAGCCTGTGTCACCTCTAGTCTATGAGGTGGCACGAATGCTGCAGTACCTTCCCTCCCGTCACTGGACCTGCAGCTGATAGTGTCCCAGATGAGGTCTGGGCACACACACCCCACACATGGCGTGCTTAGCCCTGCCACATCCCCCCCGCCCTCCACAATCCTCTCTCCAGCCACACTGCCCAGCTGGCGTCCTGTCTGGACACCTCCACCACTGTCTCAGGAACATTTATTAAGCACCTCTGCATGCCAGCTCCATGTGTAAGTGCTTTGTGTATGAGTGTAGGAACTCATGTAATCTTCTCAACCAGTCTATGAGGATGTACCATTCTTAGGTTTATTTTACTGGTGAGCACACTGAGATGAGACATTGCTTGCCTAAAGTCATAGAGCCAGTCAATGGAAAATTGGATCTCAGCGCAAAGGGGTGACAGCTGGTACTTTTAACCAAACACTGTGCAGCTCAAAAACTATTTACTGCCTCCAGCCCCCATGCCTGCCATACTGAATGCTGCAGGCTCTTTTGCATCTTAGTACCTTGGTTCAGACTCTCCTGTGGTTCCAACTCCTTCCCTCGCCATCTTCTCCACCTGGTGATCTGTTCCTCATCTTTCAAGTCTTGGATCAGGGATCCGTCTCTCTGCACTGCTCTACCTGGATGCACACCTCACAAAGTAGGAATGGCCACACCCTCCTTTGTTCCTTCCCAGATCCTGTGCAGGCTTCTGCTCCAGCCCTCGCCAACACCATTTCAAGTGTCTCTTTAAAACCTGTTTTCTGCCGCTGTAAACCCCATGTTCTGATCATCCTGGCAGCCAGCCCAAGCATAAGGTGGGTTCTTGATAAACATATTCAGTGGACACTCACGGCCTGCACTCTGGACCCTGGAAGGTTCTTGCTAACCAGGCAGAACAAAGCAGGATGGAAGGCAGAAGCCATCCCTAGGAGAGCGTTCAGGCATGGTCCAGCTAGATCCCTAGTGTTTACTTGCAGTCTTCTAGAAGCTGCACCAATGATTCTCAAACTGGGTTCCTCTTGGAATCCCCTGGGTGTCTTTAAAAATTCTTTTTGCCTGAGTCCCACCCCCAGACATTTATGTTTCATTGATCTCAGGAGTGGCCTGAGTTGAAAAGCATGTTGCTACACCCTTGCTTTTCAGAGGATGGTCCTCAGACCGGATAGCACCAGCATCACCTGAGTGCTTGTTATAAATTCAGGTTCTTCAGCCACATCTCCCAGGCCTACTGAATCCGAATCTGCATTGTAACAGGCTCCCCAGGCTTTGGATGCACATTAAAGTTTGTGAACCTCTTTGTCTACACCTGGAGTTCTCAAAACTGGCTGTGTTCGAAACATCATGGTGGCTTGTACCCCAGACCTATGACATCAGAAATTCTGGGAGTGGGACCCAGGCACTGTAGCCAGGCACTGTAGTTTTTCCTTTTCCTTCCTTCCTTCCTTCCTTCCTTCCTTCCTTCCTTCCTTCCTTCCTTCCTTTTCTTTTCTTTTCTTTTCTTCCTTTTCTTTCTTTTCTTTCTTTTCTTTCTTCTACAGAGGCTTGCTTTGTCGCCCAGGCTGGAGTACAGCAGTGAGATCCTGGCTCACTGCAACCTCTGCTTCCCGGGTTGAAGCGATTCTTGTGCCTCAGCCTCCCTAGTAGCTGGAACTACAGGCGTCCACCACCACACCTGGCTAATTTTTGTATTTTTAGTAGAGATGGGGTTTCACCATGTTGGTCAGGCTGGTCTTGAACTCCTGACCTCAAGCAATCCACCTGTCTCGGCCTCCCAAAGTGCTGGGATTACAGGTGTGAGTTACTGCACCTGGCCCACTGTAGTTTTAAAATCCCAAAATGATCCTAGTGGACAGCTGCTTTGGACCTTGCTTTGGCCTTCTATGGCTGGCTGACTCACGTGCTAGTTTCCCTTGGTGCTTCCTAGCTGGGACAAGAGAACATACTCTATCTTCTCACTTTGGATAAAATGACCTTTACATGCTGTTGCTTCTATGACTCCAGTCATGGTCAGCTCTACTGAAATGGCCACTCTCACCTTAGTTCGTGGTGGACTCCTTATCTTCCCATCCAGACCTCTCCTATTCCTGCTCACTCTACCCAGAAAATGGCTCCACAACCCACCTACCCAGGCACCCAAGCTGGAAAGCTTGGTATTCTCCTAATTTCTGTCCTCCTTCTCCCTGCAACATCTATTCAGACTTCAAGTCTTGTCAATTCTTCTACTAAAGATCTCTCCAAGCTATTTCCTTCTCCTTAATCCCTTGGTCTCTGCTCTTCTTCAGCCCATTGTGATTTTGTTTGTTTGTTTGTTTTTGTGCAGACCTCTGCAAAAACCTCCTTTTTAATCTCTCTTCTTCATTCTTGCTCCTGACAATCCATCCTCTTGTTGCAGCCCGAGTGATCTTTTTGGAGTAAAATCTGATTATGTCTCTGTTCTACTCGTCTGTTTAATGGGTCACTATTTCCCTCTGATCTCATTCTAAACTCCTTAGAGTAGAGTCATTCCCTCTCTACTCACCTAACCAGAAGTGCCCTCTGCGCTACTTGTATGGATACATTTAAAGTTCTCCAAATCCACCATGGTGTTTCCCTCCTCCCATGCACACATAGGCCTCAAGTGCCTATTGGATGGCCCCAGGTCTGCCTGATAAACTCTCTTTCTCCTTAGAAATTGAGTCCTTTATTAATCTCTCTCTCCCCCACCCCCAACACCCTGCAATTAAAAGAGCTCAACAGGCATGCCTAGAAGGGAATCTTTCACAATCACCCTCAGCTCTTAGAGAGGACATTGCTTAACTATCGTTGTCTGTGTCTGTAGGGACTTGGACAAGAGGAAATGGGCTTGAAGAGAAATAGGAACATTCCCCTTGGTCACAAGGAAGATATTTAACCATGAACTTGTAAAACACTGACATAGACCCCAGAGAAAGGCATTAGATCTTCATCTCTATCAGTTTCCAAGAAGATAATCTGTCCTGAACAACAAGGAGCTAAACCTGCTGCCCTCCCAACCTGCACAGCTCTAGGATTCTAGGATTCTGTGCATTGGTTCTAGGGCTCCCTGGAGAGTGGAATGTATGTGTTCCACCAGACATGGAAGGGAAAAGAAAGGCCATGCATAAAGAAGTGAAAGAGCCAGGCTAGGAGTCAGGAGTCTGGGCTCTCTGACTGACCTGTGATGTGTCCTTTAGCCAAGTGAGTTGGTCTCTCTGGGCCTCTGTTTCTTCATCTATAAAATCAGCCTTGAATTAGACCAGTGGTTTTCAACCAGAGGAGATTCTGACCCCTGGGGACATTTGGCTATGTCTGGAGACATTTTTAATTGTCATAAATTAGGGATGGGGGTAGGAGGAGAGTGTTGCTACTGGCATCTAGTGGGTGGAGGTCAGGGATGCTGCTCAACACCCTACAACACAAAGAACTACACCCAGAACAAATAATTATCCTGCCCCAAATATTAAGAGTGCTGACATTGAAAAACCATGGACTAGACAGTAGCTGTACATTAAAACAACCTGGGGAGGATTAAAACAATACCCAGCCTGGACTTACCCAAACTGATGGAATCAAATCTCCTGCCGTGTAGAACTTCCTTAGCACTGGAATCTCATTCAGCCACTCTTGTATCTTCCTTTAGTGTTCATTGAGCACTTTCACTGGGCTTGGCTGGGTGCTAGGTTATCTCAGAGTTTCTATCCTCTGGGAACTCAGAATTTAATAGTTATAATTCTGAGACTCATCAGACTATGACTGAACCAGTATCTCCCTTCATTTTTGGTCACATGACCACATATTACAATTTTCCACTGATCTGAGTAGACATAACCCCAACTCTAAAAGAGAATTCCTTAAATCACAATGTGGAAGGAACCTGGATTCCTGAATGACTGTATGGAGCAGAGCTCCCTCCACTGCACTAGACTGTGACATAATAAATAAAATAAAATAAAATAAATCTTTATTGTATTAAAAAAATAATAATTCTTTGGCCCCCACATATATCCTATTTAAACTGAAAAAGAGTAGCAATAATCAAGACT